CTTTCCCTATCAGAGAAAGTGTCTCCTCAATTCCGACCTTGCCCCAAAGGGCCAGCAGTTGTGCTCTTTGCACAATGCGTTTGTGGATACAACGGGACTGTGAGGTTGGCTGCTGCCAACACACCCATCTGCAAACCAAGGCCATCTGCAGAAGAGGCACTAGGTGCCAATGCCTGGAAATGAATTCATTGGCATTTTAAGGACAAACATCTTCTTGGCTACAACTACTGAACCTCCAATCCGAAACTGGAGAGCGGGAGGATCTAGGCCTCAGCAAGTCTTTTATTTGCTTCTTAAATTGGAATTAGGATATTTGTGTACAACTCTGCTTTGCCCAAATCTGGATGCCAGGCCAGCAGTGCCTCTGTCCAGCAAGTTCTGGGGCTGACCAGTGGGAAGCAGGGGGCACCTTTCTTGGCTGGCATGAATGGTTGGAGAGTTCTAATTGGCCGATTATATTTGCTGATGCAGGTGACACACACTCATTGGGAAGTTTGCTTTGTGCATCCCCCAAGTGATGAAAGGAACGGGGTGACGAAGTTGGCTCAGGCTCCATGCACATGCTCAAGGTGGTGATGGGGACCCAGGAGAGCTGATGGGGCTCGGCATAGCACCACCACTGCCCCAGGGTCTAGATGAATTCGGGCTTGGACAGAACCTGCATCTCATGCCTCTCGGTTCTCTCTCGGCACGTCATCCTGGAATCCCGTGATCTTTGCTCACTAGAGAAAGAATAAAACAGGGATGGAAAATAATTTGGTTTAGTGAAAAAGAAAGTAGGAACATTAAGAGATAAGAATTATGAAGAATGCATTAAGGAGCAGACACTGCGCCTAGCACTGTCCATGCAATTCTGTTGACCTTCCCACTGGTCAGCACCAGAGCCCAGTGAATACACAGCACTGTCCAAGAGGTAGGCACTACTATTAACCCCATTTCGCAGGTGAGCAAACTGAAGTTTATGAAGTTAAATAACTCGCCCAAGGTCATAGGTAGCTATGAATCATCAATGGCAGGATTTGAACCTCAGCCACTGGCATCAGATCCAAGCCTTAAACAGTTCTATGATTCTTTCTCCTATAGCTTTCTCCACCTACTTCCTGTGGCTTTTGCAGGAAAATAGCTGAAAAAACAGCAAACGTGGCAGGGATCTCATTTCGGCTCTGTTACTAGTTATTCCTATGCCCTCATCGATGTCACCTTGGGAACCTTAATTTGTGTATCTGTAAAGTGATAATAATGCTCCGTGTCTCGCTATCACCACCGCATCGTATTGAGGTGATTCACGTGGAGATGCTTTGAACTAAAGAAATGTCTTCTCTAGGTGAACTGATTAAGACGGTTGCTCCAGAAGGCTCTGTGGTGCAGGAGAAAGAGCATGGGCTGTGGCCTGGGCCCTGGGTTAGACTTCGTCAAACTCGTGGGACCTTTCTGGCCCTGAACTGTCTCATCTGTAACCTGCTGGGAAGCTCTGGAATGAGGAAGATACACGTGGGCGTCTGAGCTCCGTGGGTGGCAGTGTCTGGCCCAGCGGGAGCATCCCTTACCTGCGGGAGCGTCCCGTACCTGCGGGGGAAGCAGAGAGAGCTGCTGAAGGCGCAGTAGATGAGCGGGTTGATGGCGCTGTTCAAGGCCGGCAGGTTCTGAATGATCACGGAGGCGTAGAAGCGCTCCTCGGTGTCTGGAAGGAGGCCGAAATTGTCCAGCATGTCGAAGAGGAAGTACGGACTCCAACAGCAGATGAAGGCTGGGGAGAAGAGAGCCGTGAGCGCCACAGCGGGCCACGGCCCCGGGTGCTCTCTGTGTCGCCTTGGCCCGAGCTTCAGCTAGGATGTCCCTGAGCACCTGGGACCGCGCAGAAATATTTACAAGGGTCGTGTGTGCGAATGTTTATGTCGTGACCACCTGAAGACACGCACACGTACACACCCCACAGGTGCATTTCCAAAACGGCACATTTCCTGGAGCTTCTCTATTTGCAAGGGAAGGTGTGATCTGACCACCGTGAGACTCTCTCGGAAGCCTGGGAACGTCTCGCGGTGGGAACTCTTGCCGTGGGAACTTCTCGGCGGGAAGGGCAAGTTGCCTTGCGGAGCATCTGGAAGAGGTGTGGTTTCTGCACTGGAGGGCGTGTGTTGGGGGCGTGGTTTCTCTGGGATGCAGGGCAGTCCCGCTCCTGCCCCCTACACCCTTTGAATGCCCAACGGACATTTATGTAGCAGAAAACCCTGTTCATAGTTACCACACTCTAGACACCTAACTATTTTATATAGGAACATAGATGTTTTTAATAAATACTAAATTTTTAGAAATGCAATTTCCTCGCAAAAGAGGAAAGATCATTTTGTTTAATTTGGAACTGTAGCAGGGTTTGTTCACCTGCTCAGAAACTCAACTCACTGACAGCAATCTGCTTTATTTTTTACGTCTCCATGAAAATACACCTGTATTGGTTTTCATCTGAAACTGTTACTACGTCTGGCAGACTATTTCATTCTTCTTCCTGTGTTGCCTTGCCCAAGTATTTACATATTGAAATTTGCGTTATTTCATTATAATTATTTTTTTATTCCTCCTTTATATTATCATATGTTGATTGTTTAAAAATCATGTTAGGTCAATAGTACTGCATATACATTTCATTTCAGGATGATAATGGAGCGTTGCGAAATATTTGTTATAGAAAGGGCTGTTTTGGTCGGATTGGGCTGTCGACATTGGCAGACCTCCTCGCCAGGCCTCCCTACTTCCTGATTAAAAGGACCCCAGGCTGGGCATGTGGTTCTTGATTACAAAGGCCTGTGCTGGCTCTGGAACACATGTATAAGTTTTCCCGACGGAGCAGCCAGGCAGTGGGCATCCATGCTTCTGATTGGGAAGGCAAAGGAGTTTTTGGTTTATTTTAGAATCTTCTGGGAAAGGATTTTGAGGCCTGGTGGGTTGTATCTGCTTTAGCCCCAGGTCTGCCTGCAGTGTTGTTTTGTGTCTATATTCTGCTGGTTGAGTCCTGCCGCATGTGGTCTGTTTGACATTTTGCTGTTGTATTTTCAAAAGGTGAGATCGACTGTTTTGGTGAATTGACATGCAGCTAACACGAGGGCTATGCTTTCTTAGAGTGCCCAAGGGTCACACGAGGGGTAGGGAGGGGTAGTCTTTGAGCTACATAAAAAAGAAATAACACAAATCCCCTTCCTTCTTGTATATCCTCATTCATTCATTCATTCATTCATTCGACAAATATTAATTAAGCACCCAATATTGGTGGCAATATTGTAAGGAACACAAAAGTAAAAGTCATTGCTCTCATGGAATTATTACTCCATCAGGAGAGACAGACAATAAGCAGATCGATATTTATCTTATAATGTCAGGTAGAAGTAGGAATATGAAGAAAAATAAGGCAGGGTAAAGGCTACAAGGTGGCTATTTAAGACTTGTCGAGAGGCTTTTCCGAGGAAGTGGCTTTGCTAGGAAACAAGATGAGGTGAGCTGGTAAACCATGCCACCATCTGAAGGCAGAGCGTTTTTGGGAGGGGGACAGTTCGAGGTCCCCAAGGTGAGAACAAGTTGACATTTTGAAGAAATATCGAGAAGACCAGTGCCACAGTCATAGAATGTGGGAATGAGGCAGGAGACGTGGCTGGGGGACAGATCACAGAGGCCTTATACGACACAGAAAAAAGGCGGGGTTGTATTCCAGTGCAACGGGAAGCCGTAGATGGGTTTGCAGGGTCCCGATAGGGTCTGACTTACATTTTTAAATGATCACATTGGCTATTTTGCTGAGAAGGAATAAGAGAAGACAAGTGGCAGAGTTCCAGGCAGAAGTCGATGGAAGCTTTGACTGTGGAAGTGGTTTATAGATGATGAGAATGGTTGGACTTGAGATCTGTTTTGTAGGTGGAGCCTCCAGGCCTTGCTGGTGGACTAGTTATGTGGGGTGTGAAAGAAACAGAATAATGATGGACAGGTGACCCTTAGGTTTTTAGTGTGGACACTGGGTGAATGACAGTGTCACTTACTGAATTGGGAGCCACAGGGTGAAGAGTTCCTTTGCAGGGGGTGGGAGAGCATACGAAGACTTCTGGTTTGACATGTCAAGGACGATAAGCTTATCAGATGTACAAATAGAGATCTGAGGTAGAAGTCATAGATATAATTCCTAAGCAAAGGGTGTGTTCAGAGAAGGAGGAACTCATCCAACGTTGCTTGTCAGTCAAGTAAGACGAAGACTAAGCATTGACATTTGGCATTTTGGAGGTTGCGGCGACTTTGGTAAGGGTGGTTTTGCGGGAGTTATAAGACGGGAAACTAATAGAAACGGGGTCCAGAGAATAGGAGGTAGAAAGTGGCGGATGTGCTAGAAAAGGACGTGGCGAGGTGGGCCCGTTGCTGAAGAGATCACGAAGGAGCTATTCCACGGTGTCTGCGATGCGCGTGCGTCTGATCCCATCGAGGGGAAAGTCTGGGACGGAGACAGATAACTGGAGGGACAAAATTCTTGAGTCGGCAGGAAGGGACGGGATTCAGGCTCAAGTGAGCATTTTGGATGTAGAAAGAAGCAGTGTCAGTTTATCCACAGAAATAGGAGAAAAGACAGAGCACACGGTAGAGATGCTTCCCATTGGTGCACGTGAAAACAGGAGGACGAGAAAGTTCTAGTCTGTTTACTTGTCTTTTCTCAGTGACATAAGAATCAAGGTCATTAGCTGAGAGGGCTTATGGGAGAGGAAGTATTGAAGGCTTGAGAATAACAAAGAACACACACCAATCTGGTACATATTAGGTGCTCTAGAAATACTTTTTTTTTCTGAGATGAGGTGACTATGGGTTTTAGAAGTAAAGAGAAAAGTGAAGAGAAAAGGGGAGAAGATAGGAGAGAGAGAGAGAGAAGATACAGAATCCATTGGGGAGAAATTTATAGTCACCCTGAAGTTAAATATCCAGACGAAATGGGATGCCACTGTTGTCTTCCTTTCGGTCATGAACTTCGACGCTGACGGAGAATATGTGTTAAAGAAAACGTCTGGGTCAGTGGGTGATAGTGAACATCTGCTTTAGCTAATAATCAGATTTTCTCCAAATTACCCACCCCTTGGCCTTGCTGGACAAATATATTAATGAAAAGAGGATTTAGGAATTAAATGTTGTCCTTTGAAGGAACTGCAGATAGACTGATAAGTTCCACACATTCCTCTCTAATCAGATGAAGCCATAGATAAGTTTCTTTCTCCCGTGGGCTCTCCACCACCGGATCCAGGGACAAGTTTGCTTTTGAGATGTTAGCACAGTTCTGCAACATAGGGAGGGACATTGCTTACCGAGAATGATGACCATGCTGTACTTGATGGCCTTGATTTTTGCCTTCGAGATGAGCCCTCGGTTGTAACTGGTGCACAGCTTCCCATCTGGAGATACAAAAAGAGAATGGCAAGATGAAGTGTTGTTTCAGGACCACTTATCTCTGCTTATCTATGCCCAGGAGGGCCCCCTCGGTCATTGTCAGAGGAAAGATGACTCCGGGCTGGATGTTGGAAACTGCTCAGTTTGCAGCTTAATATAAAATGCAGATATATTGGGACTTCTAGACTCTTGCGAAGAGGCTTGGCTGTTTGCCCTGAATCTGCTGAAGCTGGAATTAGCCATGTGACCACAGTGGCCATGCTGAGACTCCCATCTGGTTGCTTCGGCAACTTAGGGCAAAGCCGTTTTCTTAGGTTGGTTACCCCAGACTAACTCATTCATCTAACTCAGAAACTCCACTCTCAACAAAGCTCAAACTGCAGATATTAAAAACAAAAATAAACAAACAAACTCATCCCAAAGAGGAGCCTGGACATAACTTTAATCCTAGTTGGGCTGTCATTTGATGGTATTCATGTGAGAGGTAAATATAAAAATCCATTAGAATATCAGCTTAATGGACACAAGAATGTTTTTCATTCCTTTATCGTCTAAACTTAATGAGTGATTAATATTTGTTGAATGAATTAATACAAACCTCACTCTAGTCAAGAAATGGTAAAATAAACGTTGATTAAAATAGACAGAATTCAGCTCAATAGCTCGTGGTAAAAGAAGTGGAGAGATGGCCACTTTGGGGGTGCAGATGTTGGGTGCAGGATCCCTGGACGCTGTGAGAGAATATTTGCTGTCAGGGCCTCTGCCAGCCCCAAGCACCTTCAGCTAGGTGTCACTGATTAGGGCTCAACAGGTACAGCTGTTTGGTGGCCCAGGTCAGAGCCTACCCAGGGCACCTGAGTCATATGGGCAGGGCAGCTGTACACGTGTCCTCTCTACAGTGTTCAGATTTCATGTTTAAAATTTATTTTAATCCCCATAGAAACTGGTCTGAAGTTTACCTCTCACCCCTCTCCAAACCAATCCAGCCCAATCCAACAAGCCGGCACATCTGCTAAGAGATCAGACCTGAACAAAACAGGCTAAAATGGAGTTTCTGTTCTGTAGGAATTTTTGGTTCAGCATGAAAGATCACACGCTCCCCACAAAGCTGGATGAGATGAGAGATGAGAACCAGCTATGAACAGAGAAGAGAACTGTTGCCCCCTGCTGCTGAGGAGGCCGCGTGGCAGATTCCAATGGCAGAGGAGCTGGGGCTGCAGGCGAGGGATGGGAACATGCGTGCAGCAGAGGGAGCGTCCTCAGTCAAGACACGGAAACGGGGAGACGTGAGGTGCGTTCAGGCCACGGTGAGTCTCCCCACTTGGCTGGAGCCTGAGAGCATGCTGGGGTTCAGGGTGGGGACGAGAACTGAGGCCAGAGTGGGGAGACCTTGAATGTCTTCCAGAGGAGGTTGGGCCACATGAGCCATGGAAGCTTCTGAGTGTGTTCACAGCATGAATATCTCCCTACTCGTTGGAGAGGACGACCTCTCATCAGGAAGAATAGGAACGAGGGCTCTTTCGGTGCGATGAGCTGAAATGCTAATCATAATTAATTTCTTACTTCTCATTGTGTATCCTGTAAGATGACTCCTAGGCATTGTTAGGGCCTCCTGTTTATTCTGTGCATTTCACAGAACCACGAAACTTTCGTGGTGTCGGGAAGTGAGTGCTTCAGAAGCATTTACAGCAATATGGCTCCTCTACCCCGGGTGAATTTGGCAATGTCTAGACACATTTTTGGTTGTTGAAGTGTGTGTGTGTGTGTGTGTGTGTGCGCGCACTACTAGCATCTATAGGTAGAAACTTGGAATGATGCCAAATACCCTTCGGTGCTGTTCTGTGACATCCCCCACAGCAAAGAATGACCCAGTCTACAACACGGATTGTGGCGGGATGGAAAAACTCTGATTTCCGAGGGTATCTTGGGGAGGACACAAGTTTCAGGGTCAGACCTGAACACTTCCCCCAGCTGTACCAATTACTAGCTGCGCTCCCAGCCTCAGTTTCCCAGTTTAAAGAATGAGACATAAAACACCAACTTCACACTTATTTTGAGAATTAAAATAAAATAAGGTATTCGAGATGCCCCGCCCATGCTCAGAATGCCATCTCCCTGATTAGCTGGGCCGAATGAGATGCTAACAGTATTTCAGGGGGAATGGGAGCTGCCTTTGTGGAAGTGAATACAGGGCGTAACTACATTTGGATAATTTACTCTACAATATTATTATCCGTGTATAGGAATTGTCTACATCTAAAAATTATTTGGGTGGGATGATACCCATGGGAGGCAAGTAAAACAGACAGCAGACCAAATTCTGTCCTTCAAAAGAACACTCATCGGCTCGCTCCAAAACTGTGTGGCTCTGAAGACACAGTTGGCTTTTCAGAAATGACATTCGTGAAATGTCTGAAATCTGCTTAAAATGGAAACTCGCAGTACTTTCCACAGGGCCATTGGGTGACAATATGATCAGCTACCTGCCCTTTAAATCTCCCAATGAGATCCGTGAAAAGCGGCTTTAATCTGACCACTCTAGGAAATGCAAAGCCTCCAGCTTCTAAAGATGGCTCTTCAAAGACAGCCGAGCTGCCAAATGCTGGTAATTCCCCTTTATTGGGAGATAAAAGGATTAGTTCTACCCAGGCCTTGGCGCTGAGCTGGAGTGAAAAGCAGTTAAATTCAGCCGTCACTGTGCATTAATGCTGGGGGACCTGGGGGGCAGCGGGTCCTTTAGACTGAGGACTGTAAGGAGCACCGCTTCAGGCTGTTTTAGTTCAAGTGCACGTCCCTAGAGGGGCCACACTGGCATTTAGTCTCCAGGTGGTCAGTTTCTGTCCCTAGCCTTCCCCACGCTTGATGTCCCCTGAGGAGCCACTGGGAATCCATCCTTCTTCTGAGCACCCGAGAAAGAGCAATTGTTATCCTGAGACTTTAAAATAAGGCCGATTTTATTCCTGACGGGTCAGGGGAGCCATCTGTGGACCTATAATAAGTGCGAGTGATTTTGTCGTTAACAGGGACGTCTACCTAGTGATATTTTAAAATAAACGTTTTTTTATATCTTGGGAATGTTATGTATGTCAGATTGGTAAAAAAAAAAAAAAAAAAAATTAAACACCGGTTTAGAAGTTATGCCGAATTTCTAACATTTTTAAAACTGGAAATGCATTTTTGATTTCTGATCATCGATGGCCTTCTAAGCTACAGATATAACCTGAATGCCAAATATGCTTAGCGCATGCGTCTCATCTGCTTAACTGGGGGACTGTGGCCATTCCCCCCGCTCCTTTTTTTTTGAGCCTCTAGTGAATGAGAGATCATAGCAGGATATGAGGAGGTCTGACTTATGTCACCTGACTCACAGCCTTTTCTGGGCCTCAGCTCCTCAGCTCTGGTGGAACCAGGGACCCGGACAGGCCTAAAGTAACGGTGGCAGGGACAGATTAGCTGTTCACCACATCCTGTCCTTTTCCCCCGGAGCACGCAGCTAGACATCATTTCCCACCCTCCTTTCTGCAGGGCGTTGTCACGTGCCTAAGTTCTTTCTGTAAGAACATGGGGAGGACGCATGTATACCATGCCGGGCCTGGCTCCGGTGAGCCACCTGAGCCATCCTCCACTCTCTCATCTCCAACCCCGCCTGCTGGATGCTGATGCTGAGGGACACCTTAGGAGTCACCTGTTTTGCATGGCAGGATCTCCATCTGCTCGAGTTTCTGTGGAACACTGCCCTGCCCTTCAATCTTTACTGTCAACTGGACTTTAACTGAGCAAGAAACAAGCTTCTACGTTGTTAAAGTTACTGTATTTTTGGGGTTTCTCTGTCATAGCTGCTACTGTTTCCTTAACTAAAGCAGAAATTGGTACCTCACATGAAGTGCTAACCAAAACAAAAGCTAAAACGTGTAGCATCGCTCTAGCGGGCAAGCAGCAGGTGGCAAGAAAACTGATATTAGAAGCTGGGACACTAGAGATCCAGTTGGAAGAGGGTCACATATGATGCCTGGGAAGGCAGACTGTGTGCCTGCTGAGCCCAAAGCCCAAAGAACAAAGTTGGTGTAGCAGTCAGGGCTCTCCAGAGAAACAAAACCAATAGGAAATTATATATATAGACAATGAGGCTGGCCCTGGTCCCCAAATCAAGCTGTAACATTGAGAAGTTTTAACCAGCAAAGATCCATTATGAATCATACATGAGGCAAAGATCAGACTAAGGATGTGGCCTCCCACCTACTATTTATGATGGCCTCAAGTTAGCTTCCATTAAGTTGAGAGACAAGGATTTAATTCAGTGAAGAAGCAAAGAACAAGTCAGATCTGAGAATTATACTAAGACTTTCTGGATATGGCTGCTGACACGTGAAACTGACTGGAAGCAAATATATCAGAAGCCTAGTAAGTTTTTGAGAAATAATATTGCCAAGTAAACCATGAGCTTTATCAGACTTTAAAATTTTTATTAATCCTGCGAGTAGAAAATTGTATCTGAGATTTAAATGTCTACTTTCCTATCAGTGAGGATGATAATCTTATTTTTGGCCATTACACTTTTCTCTTCTGCAAAATGCCTGTGTCTTGCTCATTTCTTTTTCCGATTTATCTTTAAAAAAATTTTTTAATTGATTTTTAGGACTTCATGTAAAATGGATACTAATCTTTCCTAGGTGTAGGTGCTGTGCATGTAGTCTCTCCCACTATGTGGTTTGACATTTTATGTATTAACAGTCAAATTGATCCATTTTTTTTATGATTTAACATATCTTGTACCTTGTTTAAAAAATCCTTCCTTACCTCAATGTCATAAAGATATCACTCTACACTTTCTCTTAAAAATTTTAAAAGCCATACATTTTACACTTAAGTCTCCAATTCACCTGGAATTTGCTTTTGCCTATGAATTGAGATAAA